CTGGTTTTCTATGAGGCGTAGAATCGTCTGCTACAGACCAATGTCGGTGGAACTAGCGGCCAATGGACTGGCTGGTACCAGCAAGTAAATAGAGTTACGAAAAGAATACGTTTACGAATCGGATAGGAGAAGTATGGTGCGCGGGACTTGTGTCTTACAAGAGTAGCAGTTACATCGGCTTTTCAGTTTTCAACATCACAAATCTACGTGGCATGACTGCACTCATAAACGCCCGCGGCAGTCGTCATGTTGTGGTCACGCTGAGCTATGGGTACTGTTTGTTAGCAGACGCCCGCCAACAAATCAGCCGTTACGAATCCATTAGAGCCGAACCCTGCAGATACGACGTTACTGACCGCCTGAACGCAGCGATGCATTGCCTTGAACAGGTTCCGGTATCGAATGCGTAGTAGGGTACTCTATAAATTCAACGGAGCTACAATGCCCTGTTCTTGTCGACAGCAGGAACCTAACAAACGTTAAATCTTTACTCTTACCGCTATTATTATGAATCGAGTATCGGCAATAAGAAAGAATTGCTGCTAAAAATCCCACTGAACAAGTGACGATCCGCCACCTCCGCCTATATTTCTAATAGCAAAAGCTACATAAGACTAAAAACTACTTGGCCCGTCACCTGAAGCTAGAATCTATAGACGATGGTAGCGATGCCTCGTCAGCACATGCTAATGGCGGGTGTACACACGATGCAGATGAAATCGGATCTAATATCAGTCATTAAGCCAATATGTAGATTGCTTAGGGGCAAAACAGCCTATTGATTAGCTCGAGTCGGTAGAAGCAGTTCGACTATTGCAATTGCCGCTTTGTGTTACTGTACTCTTCAGCGATAATGATCCCGCTGGTGGTAGATCCTTCAACAGATCAGGCGCAGGCTTACAACGGGCGTTGGTGAGAAGCCCATATGGGAGCAGATGCTGAACACGATAACGTCCGGTCAGTTAAAGCGAGGGCGGAAGATGGGCAAAGAGGCCCCAACGGTGCATCGAAGCGCGTCCAAAGCAGCATGGTGTCCGCTGTTGTGAAGTCTGGTCGACAACATTAGGAACAATTTATGAGCTGGGGACATTTTTTGTCAACGTTGCATTTGTGCGCATATGTATAATTTAAGCAACGAAGTATATTTAAGCCTGGAGACGACCAGATTCTGATACGTATGGCAGCAAGGGTTGCGTTCTCAGACGGAGTAGATCTTTGTTATTCGAATGGGCCGTTCGCGTACCCAGGAGGTTTAACTTTTCATTTAAATTGATAAGTAACTTCTTGTTTCGTTTGAACTGTGTAGCATCTATGTGCGGTTAGTAGGATCAGAAGCAGCGATCCCTTTGGTTCCTGTCAAACATAAGGATAGAAAGTAGCTAAGCTTAACTGTAGGACAGTTCACGGTCGAACCGTGGTTATTGTGATTCGCAGTGCATACAGTTACATTTGACGTAATTTATCTTTGTACAGGAGGTATACACTGTTATGATTCGTTGATTGAAACAAAAAGAAAGTTAGCAAAGGGGCCGATTTGCGCTTTCGACAATTTGTATAATTCATGACTGAAAAGAAGCTAAAATCGCCTGATCGAAAAGTGACTTTCCGTTCAGCCAAGCGCTGCTTTCCTTTGTCTGAAAAATTCTTCTTCTCTAAGAAAGAGAACGTATCGTAGTAAATCTAGCGGAGCACAGAGAACGTACAACTGCTAATCCGGGATGAGAAAAGATATTCGACTGCACTATACAACGTATCGTAATTATTATATAGTTTGCCTCACACAACCCGTTCGAAAGCGAAGCCGTACTACGGCGTTATTATAATAGTTGACAAAAAAGCAATGGTAAAGAAGATCAATGAAGATGATGTGTGAAAGTCAACTGACAGAACTGGACGACAGACGTTTTCGAATCGTATGAAGGTCTTCACAAGACGGGGTTTCGCCATAATTTAAGCTTAATGCTATCCGTGTCAAGAGCAAAGATACTTCTAAGAAGAAAAGTGTACAAGACGATCACATGCGCGCGCGTTTATGTATGATAAATAAATGCAGTTTTTTGACAAGCTAAAATATGCTCGAACTAATTTAGATCGACTTAATCGATTACTCGTATTCCACTGTATCTTCAGCACAAAACAAATTTCTAATCTAATTTCTAGATAAATACGCGCAATGAGCTTTTCAAATATATATATATATATATATATCGACTGTTTTTTTTTAAATATTACATACAGGATACATACGGGCCTGGCCTACAAAAAACAGATTGGCCGATCGTTCAGTTTTTTATTCATTCATTCAGAAAAGTCCAGCAGATCAAATGCTCATACCTTTAGGAGAAATACTCGAAAATTATAGATACTAGATTGAAGTACAAAGCGCCTTGGGTTTTACTACAAACAAAAAAAGTAAACGAGAGAACGACGAATAGGTTTTTAACACACTCAACATTAAAATCGAAGGCAAAGCTGAACGGCGTATCCTAGTCAAGCTAAAAAAAATGTTAGTTTTAGATTAGAAGTAAAGCGAAAATGTCCTCCAGGCAAACTCAGCACCTTTGCCTTCTCGACACAGCTTGCCCATTTCAGACTGTAGGCGGACAAAGATTCTTTATCATCATTTTAGCCAGCCTACTAGCAAGGATGTTATCGTTATGTTCCTTTACTACTTAGTAGAATTTAACATCTTTTTTCGGTACAGGCCTCCCATAACGTGCCGTCTGTCTACAGCATAGAGCCCCCGCCACTTTCTGGGCCGTTCGTCATTTTCTCGTGCGCCACTAAAATGATGCCCCTCCTGGATACAATCGGGCGGACTGAGATCTGGTGGATCGGTTACCGCAAGACTTTTATGGCGCAATAAGCCGAAGCAGACACACCGGCTCAAGAACCGGCGGATCCACGCGTCAATCAGATTCTACTATAATGTGACTTTCGTCATACGCCGCATACACGATCCATTATCGTCTGTCTTTCGAATTTCTACCCGGTTGATCGGTTGTTCTGTGACTGCAAGAACAAGTATTGATTAGGACTCGGTGTAATGCAACAAGCCGACTAAATAGGACAATCTGTTACGTGGCTTCGTACACGCCGCCAAGTAACACAATTAGTAAATGGATATATGCACTGCAGGCAAACTATCGGACTATATATATATATGCGTGTGTGCATGTTAATAATCGCCAACAGCTTCATGTCAGTTCGAGGTGGCTCCTAGTGTCCTGACAAGACATGCATCACTTATATATAAACGTTGTAATTTGAAATAGGTCGTACATTGTGCGTGTATACGGGCGAACATTGAGGCTTTCCCAAACTTTGACTAAAAAAAGACAGCCGTTGAAACTGGACACGAAGTTCTCACACTATAGCTTTCAATTGAGCGTCATGTGTTGTCCGATCCACCTATGCTAAGTTGCTTAGTTTAGATAAAGAACTGTTTTTCCAAGACGCAGACCCATCTAAGCAGTAGCAATAACGATACACGTGCGGAAACGCCCCCACAGACAATGCTTCAGTTGTTCCAATTATTGGCGCCATCAGCAGACGGATGCTTAATGTCCGCCATGAATAGATACGTCGCGGCGGTAGAGAAAAGTGCGGTCGAAGTCGTGAAGATAAACGAAGTTTCCACGCTACCGCTGAAGCCGAATGGGGTTGGCAAGTGAATATTAGAACGGGCAATCGGGTACATCTGTCATCAAGTGTTTAGCTAGCCATCATTAATCCGCGTCGAAGCCAATTACAATTCTATTAGACGTTTCAGTGAAGCGGTGTCCCGCTTACTTCAATCGCTACGTGTTGTTTCCTCTGAGACAACTAGAAAGGCCGAAACTCGTACCGTAACTATAACAGGCTATTATGGGGTACCATGCAAATGTAGTACAGAGGTTAGCAAATATTCAATGTTTACCCTTTTATAACGGCGGTTGTAGTACATTGCTGGCCATAGAACGGATTGTTTTTCCAGTGTCGAATGAATAGAACCGACAAATGTCTCGGCGCTCAATAGATTGGTGAAGCGTATCTTGCCATCGATTTGCTTTGTCAATGGCTAATGATGTTATGGTATAGTTATGAACTGATCTCGCATCGCTTTCGACGTTTCTAAATGTTGACAGCTCTCTTTGCTCGTTAGCTTATTCAAACTGTGCTAAAAAATTTGCCCCATCTAATGATAAATTATTTGACAAATAACGGAAAGCAATCAGATATCAGAAAATGCCTGCCATGTATATAAGGGTGTATTACAGTCTCACACGTGCCTCCGGTCTTGGTATAAAGGCTGAGCTGTTCAACTTGCTAGGATCAATATTAAATGTTCAGAACTAGATCTTTTCCTAATAATAACAGATAAAAGATCACCCGATGTCTCTGTTTCAATTGACGGCTCTGGGGAGAACCTCCTTCGACTCGTTCGAGGAACTTGTTCAGTTCTGTCTTTAAGGAAATTAATGCACTATCTACAGTATAGCTACACAGTCTTCAGCAGCCACGAATGCCCAAAAGAGACGACTAAATCCATGTATAATTTTACAGAAGATGGGTAGAGCGCAAAAAATCCTTTAGTAGCGAAAAATCAACGGATGTTATTGTTCGTATGTCCTCGTTGCGCGTAAGAGTCACCGTCGATCCGGCATCATTTTTGACGGATAGCAGGGCTACGTCATGTAAATGGACTATGTCATGCGTTTAATCTAGCGTTTCAACTGTGACCCGGACAACTCGAAACAAGCTGATATAATATTCAAGCATATCTATGTGTACAGCTTGTATAAGGTACCGTTTGTATCTGATAAAACGCTAGAACAGTTCATGACGCAATTGACAGAGAATGACTTAACTTTCTTTTTCAATCAAACTTTCGAATTCAAGTTAAGCACATTTCTAACCTTTCCCTGATTAGAGTCACTACAACGGTTGTGTACATTTATAATGCGTAGTTATGCTTTAAGGCGTGCGGTAGATAACGGTCTTCTCTTGTTACCTTTCAGGTAATAATAACTCGCGGTTAAATTCAAATAGCACGCTATGTTGACAATGTACGCTGCCAGTAGGAAATCTCTACTGGTGTTTTCCTACCGCGAAACAGAGCATCACAAGGATGGCAAGGACGTCTTGTGAAAAAACCATGGGAAAATTATTATCGTAAAAGTGCTATGTGCACAAATCCTACCAGACGAAGAATTGTCAACAGAAAAAAGTATACGAGCCCCAATCAGGTCTATAGACGTTTGATCTACTCCCACCTTTTAATGGTACAACCCCAAAAAATTAAGCAAGGACCTAGCTTTCTTTAGAAAAATAGCCATATCGTGTAACACCAGCGAATCGGCTACGACGAAGCGACTGCGTGCTTGGATCCAGCGCTCGAACATACTCCACCGCATCTCAGAGTTTATTGTACTTGACAACTCCGGTAAGAGTAAGTGTTTGAGCATTAAAAGAAACGACACTTTTAGACCGCTTAAAATAGCAGTCAGTGTGCTGTATATTCCTGTGTTTCTACGCTCGACAGCAACTGTTTATCATAATAGACGACTACGAAATCGTACTACGGACGGCACGACGTCTTTTAATGATACGTACAATCTCTGTACAAGGTTACTTGTTCTAATGACCCAACAACTGGGTCTGACCGCCGTATGCCACTGGTGTCCAGCTTTGTTCCGATGGACCACGAAGGCCTTTACGTTGAGCCTATTTAGTCCTGCTTGACGCCTATGATTCAGATGATTTGAGCACGCTGAATATAAGTAAGGGCTATATTTGTCACATTGCAGGTGCTAGTCATTGTTTGTCTTTCCTGCAGTTCACTAAGAAGTCGCCATCTACCTGCATCAGCTATGCACGGCTTAAACTTGGCAAAACAATAGCAACTATATCCGGTAACTAATCAGTACGTTCGCAGTGACTTGGCAGTTCCAATTAAAGTTTACGCAAGTCGCTTTCTTTCAACTGTGTGCAATAATGCGTGCATCTGATGGCACGGCGTCTCTTTTTCCTACTTGACACTTACTGAAGTTTGTAGTCATCACAATACGGTGCCATAAGTAAATCTGTATCGGTGTTGTCATATACTTGATGTACTCTCTGTACACTGCGTCGCCGATATTCAGGCTCCAGCCGGGTAAATGATCTGCGATACGCACACCGCTGAAGCACTGTTGTTGGCAGACACGCACATATATATAGTACAGTTAGTACCCTAACCTCTCGTTTCCGTAGCCCCATAATCCAATGTATAATATATCCGTCTGTCTATACCTGGTAGCAAAAGCCCCCAACAGTCGCAGTGACATTCAAACTGACAACTGCCGCTGTCTTGTCTATGGGTCTACTGCCGTCGAAGGAGAAGCGTGATTGAAAGCTGTGCCGTAGTGGCGTTGACGACGTCCTATTGTTCCCTGGCAGCAGTTAAATGAATAAAAAGTTTCGGAGTCGAAGCAAGAGAGGCAAGGCTTCAACTAGATCGTGAAGAAAAAATGAAGTAAATCAGTTGAGTTTTCAAAGAGAGGTAATGAGATCTGCTCCAAGCGAATACCAAAGTCGTTGACGCCAGCTGGGGCCACTGGTAATGACAGTGGAAACGTGGATCCTATCTCGCCCCCGGGGTGCAGTTAATGTTGACATCGGATATTGCATTCGAACGGGGTCAGTTCGATCTCTGTATCACTTTATCCATCGGCCAATGGCCAATTCCCGGAGAGTCCTGAGAGACAAGAAAAATGCAGAGGAAACCAGTATATATCTTTACCATCATCGTTTGCGGATATTTTTTTATATTTCCTTCATTGGTATCGCTAGAACAGGTTCCATCGACTAATACAGAATCATCAAAAATGACTTACGTATGTAACATATACAACATGATTTATTTAATCATTTACAGGAGCAGCACCTGTTAACAACAATAAGATATTGCCACTAAAAGTCACTGCTTTTCTTTTGCTGGTAGCTCTGTTCATTCATGGTCTATGGTTCTGTATAGAGATGTGACCTCTATCCAAGTCCATACCTGTAAGAACGAAAAATTTCGTGACAATATGGTCATTTTCAGGCTTCATAAGGTCATTCTTAATTTCACTAAAGTTATTTTCATGTAAATCGTGCACGCTACTCGACACATTCTTTAACAACATACAGTACGTGCAAAGCCTATACTGTGCAATCTTCCAATGTATGTGAGCCCGTTTTCAATCGACGCACGTCTGTTAGACGTTCGGTTACGTACGTACAACCGACAGCGTCATCGTCTGCAACTCTAGCGTCTTACGCTTGCACTTCGATTGCCCCCTCTGAGAGTTTAAATCTATGAGGGAGGGATGGTTGACTCAGAGGGGAAGAAGGGGGCGGATGGGCGGGGATAATAAAATTGAATTGCGTCATTTGATTGATGCCACTGTTACTGCATTGAGTCGCTGTAGCTAGCTACTATTCTACTAGTCCTAGCAATGGAAAATATTATTATCACTGGTATTTCGGCTAAAGGCTAACGGGACTTTATTTCATGTGTACGCCACACACCCACACACACCCACCCACACACACACACACACACACACACACACACACACACACACACACACACACACACACACACACACACATACACACACACACACACAAACACATACACATTCGTAACAACAGCATCGTTACATTAAACAATTAGATCTACAATGGCACTGTATGAAGGATTATATTGCCAAAAACGTTATTTATTATAGAAGATAAACATAATATTATAAATAAATCTAAATAGCAGCCCGATAATTAAAAGCTAGTTAAATATAAAAATTTTTATAGGTGACTTTATTAAATATACGATGTGCTATACACACTGGAAATATTTATCAGATATATCGCGTCGTCCATGGCCTTTTAAACAAGGTCCTTAAAAATGATGAAAAGCTGTTTATAAACCTTGTTCTTTAGTTATTATTAATATCTAGCCATACTATACAGATTTAACTAGCGTTGCGTAAATATCCAATACACGTACGCTACTGACCTACACTTCGAAAAACTGAAACGATAGCATAGCTGAGACGGAGATCTGCTACGAAATACGCGGAAGCCTCATTTCGAAGTTAGCGATATAAGAGAGTAACTGAGGTCGCTCCAAGAACCAGCCTTAGATAATGGTTTCATTTCATAATTTATACGTGACAAGTCATATTTGATAACAAGGTCGTAACGAATACCAGACGGGTCTTCACGAATGTATCTTTCTGGCAACTTAAACCTTCGATATCTCTTATGCGTATTCCAGGTCATCGAGCCCTCGACGACGCCTAGGTAGACCAGAGTCTCTAATCTTGTGCTGTAGCGTTAAGCGGGTCACGCCCATTTGTGGTTTGATAGCGCACACAACTTTCGATTAACTAGCCTCTATGTTTCGAGTTTTACGTCCGGTATCGCTGTTAGATATATCGTCAGGCTGGCTCCTAACCATCACGAAAGGAAATCCGTCTGTGTCCAGATTTGAACCTAGACCGCAACGTGTCTTTAACTAGCCTATGTATATAAGTAGGGCAGTTGCTCCAGCCTTCGAGTTCGAGACACAGATATCTATTGTATCATCTATGTAAGACCTAACTTCCAACACGAAGTCAAAAATGCAACGCATCTTCTTAGCGGATTGCAGAAAATAACGTCTATTTGTCTTACAGTATTTACTAAATATTTCTACCTATATGTTTCTTTTTTTTGCTAAGAACGACCAGTCTACATCTGCTTTTCATCGAAATTACGTGCCCGTAAAATTCGATACCACTCTCGCAAGCTAGAAGCCAATTGAACGTTACTAGTGTTGAATATAGCGATGATGATCAGACAATCATTGATAACCTCGAATAACAGAAGAGACTCCGTTCTTCTACTCGTGCTACTCGATTTGGTTGGCGTTAAAAACACGCGTCCGCTACTGCTTTTCGTTTATTGTGATGCTGTACGGAACAATGGCGCTCAAAATGATCATTCGGGCAGGATGGCTTAGATCGTGTTCTATTGTTGGGGCTGTTACTGGGTCGATTGCTGCGGGCAATGTTAGATAGACGCCACCGATGTCATTTACTGGCAAGTCTGGCCCGCTCCGGTCTGATGCTGGCCGGTTGTTCCCCCTTCGTTTCGAACGGTCGCGGTTGCCGTCTCCTGTTCCCGGGAAGGTAACTTACCGGTCGTCCAATGGCCACTGACTTGTCCGTATGTTTACAAGATCGAAAACTGCTAACAGAAGTGCTTATAATAGCAGCACAACTACAGTTGCTTGGTAATGATCGTAGGGATAGTAGCTTTACTGTTTGTCCCTTTGGTGTTTCTGTGTCTCTCTTGCACCATTGACGCTATCTACGAGCTGTTGACAGCCGTTGCTATTGCTGCTCATCGCCTGTAGTTAGTAGGCGGCTATCAGGGAAGTAGGCAGCAGGACGAGGCAACAAGTGTCGATCTCTTCGGCACTGCCTGTTCCCCGTCGTCTGCCTTCGACCGGCTATCCGTTCAAGCGTGCTCCTGCCCTGTTCGATAGATGACCCAGAAGAAAACGGGTAGAAGAACTGTTACTTTTCCGGTCGTTGTTATGCTGATGCCACGACTGCCGAGTGCATGTGCGGCAAGTATTAAGCCATAAATGCACAGGCGAGATGAACGCTGACGGTTGAACGGATCTAACTGCTGTCGCGCTACCCGATCAACATTCTCAGTGCTAAAAGCGATTCGACCAGCAACTACCTGCCGCTATCTTACACATCATCAGCAGAGCGATGACAAACCCTTGCGCCAAATTTCAACGAGCTGACAGACCTCTACAACTGGAGAAGGCTAGAAGCGACAGGCCCGACAGAAAACGAGAAAGGTGGCCTGACGAAGATTGTACTACGCTCAGGTATACCCACCCACATGAATCAGTATCATTTACATGTAGCGTTAGCTGATATGGCTAGCAGTGTTTGCCATAATTCTTTCTATTATCTAAGCGCCGACTGGCGCCATCGACACATCGGTGGCTTTATTTGTAAACACTAGATACCGGCCCCAGTTCAACTATGTGAGATCAGTCAGCAGGAAAAGCTGTTGAAAAATGACGAAAAATGATGCCTTATGTAATTCTCCTGGGTAATGCCGCTCGCAAAACCTAGAGAGGGTGGGTGTTTGGCTCGCCCATTCATCTTTAATGGATTGCTTTCAACGGCCCCCACCTCTAGAACTGACTATGCGACACTATTAACGAAAGGGGAAGATAAAACGGAACCGAGCTATGTTATTGTGCATCGTAGATAACCTATCCTCTCTAGCTAGTCCAATGAAGGCATTGGCAAGGGTCCCCGTGAAAAATTATCTACCTATTTTCGATGTCTTTTCATATTATTCGTCGCATTGTCCCGTCCTCTTAAATTTGTAACCTTAATCCTTCTGTCTTAGGCA